GCTCACCCTTTTCCAGACCCCTCTTCCTTTAATGATAAGTAGACAGCTGTATATATGATAAGTGTCACAAAAACGTATAATTTAGCATACCATAAATTGTAAACAGAAGAATGTTTTTTCCCTTGTCCTTGAGAATGTTTTATAGAGATATCTCATTAACTTACCCTGTGCGTTATTACAATTAACTACTTGCCACACAGTATAAATAAAGACCTGCTGAAGGAAAAGCAGGAAGACTTGCACCCTATCCTGACTCCCGTGTCTTCCTCGCGTCCGTTCCCCTCTCCCCCTTTTTGGAATATCCGCTCGCTGATGCCTTCCCATCTTAGGGTCCTGCCTGTGCTGCCTCGAGACACCCCAAAGGTTGGAGCTGGTCTCCGACAAAGACCTCTCACAGATACAAGATCTATGAGTCTAGTGACTTCCTCTTAAAATGTTTTAAAGCTGTGAAAAGCTAGTTTTGGTGAAAAAAAGCAGATGCTTCCCTACTTTATTCAAGCTCCCTTCAAGGTAAGTCACTAAACTGGAAGTCCATTAAAACAAGGCAGGGATAACACCACTTTTTAAGTATACTTAGTTAAAGCGCAGCACAATGAAGCTATCCACAGCCACTGCAGCAAGTTTGATCCCTGGCCAGGGAGCTGACCCACATGGGTGCACCAGACCTCTCCTGTCTCTCCCGCTCTCCCCTCAGCAGTATATTTCAGTCAATCTGCCGGTTCTGTTCCCCACTTTGTCTCTAGAGAATCCTCTCACTCCCTGCACATCTGGCCTGTATCCCAACCCTTGTATGAATAAATAAATCTTTTAAAAAATAGACATATATGTACAAATTTACAGATAAAATGATACAACATCTGAGATTTCCTTAAAAAATAATCAGAATAGGGAAAGTCATAGAGAAGGGCTGGGTATATTTATGTAACAAGATAAATTATAAATATCTCCTTATTTCAGATGTGTGACAGGCTGTGAAATTTCATTACTCTGTCCTCTAAACTCAGAGACTGCTTTCAATAAAGGGTACTGAGAAGATATGTCCATCAAATATAATGAATGCATGTATTAGATGGTATTATCTAGACTGTGCTAAATTTCTTGGGTGTGTGTTAACTGTCTTGTGGTATAAAGAAGAGTGACTTGATTTTAGAAGAGGTGATCAAAAAAAAATGTAGGGTAATAATAGAATGTATTCTTATTTCCCCAGTTGCTTCCAAATGCCCTTCAGAAGCTATTGATTGTGTTTTTAATACAATCAAGGATCATGGAAACCTGAACACTTATTCCTCCCCAAAGGAATGACTGAATCTTCCCGGGCCCCAGTTAACAATTGTGAGGGCATTTCTTTTTCCTCAGAAACCAGCCTGAATTTTACTTTGAATCACAAAGATAAATTTAATCACCAAAACAATTTCTTGAGAAGTGTCTTTTAGAAAGGTGGGTGAGCGAGGCTCTCTGGCCCCCTTCCACTTGACTGAACAGCTCGCATCACCCACCTCTCGGAGGCCCACACTGGCCTTACAGGGCCATCCCCACACACTGCTCTACCTTGACTTCAGATGCTGCTTTTCCCATCTCACCAAACAGAAAGACGTCACTTCGATCCATTTAGTCCTACTGTCTTTTGTTTATGTTTATTGTCATGGTTAAAGGTAATTTTTAAAGTTCTGGGCAGTTCTCTGTACTTTGTGTTCCATTTCACTGAGTTTTTTGCTAAAACTGTGCTTCAAAAATAAAGTTTACTAACAGTAAAAACAAGTACCTGGGGTTTTTTCTTATATCATCCAGCTGGCCAACCACATGAGAAACGTTGGTTCGAATCATTTTAAAAGCAATTTCTTCTTCTCCCATGATTTCAAACCTAATTATCAAGACATATTTAAAGGGTTTAAATACTTAGGTACATACTGAAACAAATTTCAGTGAGAAAAGTTTATATAAAACGTGAGCACACAGCACACAACAGCCTCACTAAATCTTCCTATCACCAAAGGAAGTGCCCTTACATAGACTTGAAGGAATGAGTCATAGGTAAACTATTGTAGAATTAGGAAAATAAGCCAGACTCTTAAAATTATCTTAAACCAATCAAAGAGAAGTATGTTTTACTTACCTGTATTTGTTTTTATCCTTATATGCTTTGTGGATTTTATCAGTGACTGGTTTACAGTTGGTTACGAGGCTTTTAGTGACTGGTGGCTGTGAGGAAATACAGACATTACAAAGTTAGGGTGAGGTGAGCACAGCCTTCACCGCAGGCACAAACTTAAAAGGTTGCCCAAGTTGAGTATCAAGATAAATACTTTAATGCAGTGTTCTAAAAACTCTCTGGCACATGAAGGCCCACAGGTTACTGCCTGCTTTAGTAAATAAAGTCTCATCTTAAATACACAAAACTACACACTATCTGTTAAAAAAAAAAGGTCACATAATTTTTTTCAGAAAGAAAAATCTATCCTGGACTGTACTGAAATGGGCTATATGATACTCAAATTGCGCTAACTTGTATAATATTATAGTTTACTTAGAAAATACTTAACTTGTATTTGATCCCATACACAGGCTGCAGTAATGTCTGTGTAATCACTAATTTGATCCCACACATTAACTGCAGTAGTGAAACCCACACCTTGGGTAGGAGCTCTGTGAAGTAATGTTAACTAATGCTGCCAGAATAACTAGTACTCATGCTTTAAACAGTTTATCTGGGGCCTCCCCAGTAGTCTAGGGGTTAAGCCTCAGTGTTATCACAGTGTTAGCCTAAATTTGATCTCCGTCCAGGGAGCAGGCCTATATGGTGCATCAGACCTTTTTTTCTTTTTAAAGATTGACTTATTTATGCATATAAGAACTGGGGTGGTGAGAGGAATCACCAGAGACAGAGTGGGAAACAAAACAGGAAGGTTAACTGGAATACACTGCTGAGGGGAGCAGTGGGGGAGACAGGAGAGGTCTGTGCTCCATGTGGGTCACCTCCCTGGCCGGGATTGAACTCAGTGCTGCAGAGAGCTTCATAGTGCTGTGTTTTAACCTCTTGTTCCACCAGGGAGACCCCAGACCTCTCTTGTCTCACCCACTCCTCCCCTCAACTGTATATTTTAGTAGATCTGCTTGTTCTGCTCCCTACTCTTTTTGGGGAACCCTCTCACCCCCGCACCTTTGACCTATACCCCAGTTCTTCTATACACACACAGAAATTAAACATTTTAGTTGCGTCAGGCTCAAGAAAGTAGTATAAGGAAAGTAGCTCTACTTACTTAGTCAGGCCACGCTGACTGTAAATCTCAGGCCAGAAATTTGGCAAATGTTAAAATCTTACTCTGCTTATTTTACTTTCAAAGGAAAACTACAAATCCCTCAGTAATCTTTCTATCAAGCCTGTAACAGGGCAAGATGGGTAACTTTTCTAAGTGTACATCATTTTCCTTAGGAAAGAACACATTTCTGCCTGTCTGTGTTCAGAGGATGAGTCAGAAGCCCAGCACACTTTCTCCTTTCTATTTTCCCTAACCTAATTGTATTCGCTAAACACTTTTCCACAGGTAGGTAAAAATTAACCATAAGTATCATATTAGTGGATATGATTAGTAGACAACAGCTGTATTAGGTTCTTGTTTCATCAAGTTCAGATGCTATTTTTTTTTTTCATTTTGACATCGCTGAAACTGGGATCTATCTTATAATCAACATTCTCCCAAATGCTTTGGCCAACTGACACCCCTATGTAGTTGTATGTGAATCACCCACTGCCACTAATAGTAAGATTTAAAAGTGCAAAGCAACTTTGCTTTGATGAAGATGGTACTCTGTCTGATGAACATCTTAGTTTTGTTAAACCTCAGGATTGTTCTCTCAGGTCAATGAGAATGTGTTGGTGTTATCATTGGCTATCCTAAATGAACAGAAATAAAGCAACAAATGTCAGCTTACTATCTAATGGGGGAGAAAAAAGGTACTCCAGTGAAAGATGTGATTCTGGGTTATCTGTGTTACTACTTTTCAGGAAGGACATGTAAACATAGAGTCTGCTTCCAGCTTTTGAAGTGTTCTACAGAAATGCCATAAATAACACCTAATAAGAATACACTTTCCATTGTACAAAAAAGTCCCCAAGCCACTTACCAGATTGGGATCATAGTATGCTTCCTGAGTTGGTGGAATGTTGTTTAGTTGAGTGATATTAGCAGGAAGCATTTTTGAGCAATTTATTAACATGTGTTCCAGACCTGTTAAATCCTAACAAAGAAAAATAAAAGGTGTCTGAACCTATGCGCATTAAATAATGATTGTGGTTTTTACAATAAAAATTATGTGATGGTCTTCAAAAATTGTTTAAATGCTGTCTTCAAATAGCCTGACTGCATGATTCTTAGCCAGACAAACCCTACCAGAGAGCAGGGTGAGACGGCCACATAGGTCTTCCTCCTCGCAAAGCAGCCTGGGAGACACCCTCTGATGCAGGGTGGTCCAGGGACCAACAGTGTGTGCCCGGCAGCTAGAGTCCTCTTGGCACTCACCGCTGAGGAGTTTCCTGCTCCTGGGGCCAGAGAATGTTAGGGGTAGATGGGACGGTGCTGACATCTCCAGCCAGCCAAACCCAAAGCCCCTAAAAAGGGACTTGTCACAAGACAGTCTAAAAGAACAGGCGAGGTCTGGCTCTTTTCTAGATAACACTGTAGTAACCCCTACTACAAGTAAAAAAAACAATCCATAAAACTCAAACTTGATGTTAGGTTTTAGTCCTGGCACTAAAAGTGGACTAGTTGTAAATAGCCTGATTAAACATTAAGAAATACTTTTACTTGCATTAGCTGTGAATGGGAATAAGAGGGAAACAAACGTGGTAAGGGAAAAGGCAAAGTATCATATGGTTAAGGGGGGACATAGAGCACCTGTAAACTTAAAGGCAGATCATGAATTCTGGTTGCCAGTGTTCGGATTTCTCTGTCAGATAAGACACCAGATTGGTCTGTATCAACTTCATCGAAAACTTGAGATATGTTCAGTGGCTGAACTGCACTCATGAGATAGTAGAAATAAGAGAAGGCAAACTGCATATCCTCGGAATGGCGCACTTTGTGAAACGATGTCTTATCAAATTCTTCGGGGAACCTGTTCAAACAGAATACATAATCAACTCTGGATATTCAAAATACATCCAGTACCTCATAATGGGAGGGGGGAGGGTCATTTTCTTTTTCCTCTCCACTTACTTCAATGATAAGCTCCACATATGATAAGCTCCACATATGATAAGCTCCACATATGAATTACCCAGTACTGGAGCCCTCAGGTTACAGCACAGCATGGACACAAATGGAAGCAGCTCTGGCCATGAGCACGTGGGACTTACATATCCTGCAGCTCCTGCATGACTATTCGGTCGATCATGTGAGGCATGTGTGCAGGGACTTTCCGCGATGTGAATCCAAATTTGCTGTTTAGAATCTTATTGACATATCGGAGGGAATCTGCAAACGTGTCTTTCAGTTGCCTCCCAGTATATTTGCTCTCAGTAAAGTATGCCAATTGTGTCTTCAGTGACTCTTCTTCCTGAAAAGAGAATTCCCCACATCACAGCTTTCTGTTTAGTGCACAAACGTACTTTGTAAACAAGAGGTGAAGATGCCTTCTTCTGTAATATGCTGGTAGCTAGTCACTAGCTGCACCTAAGGGGCAAGTGATGGAAGCACTGAGGTCACTTAAGTAGCCTGAGAGCAGGACAAAAATGAATGTCAGTGATCTCTCACCAACATTGGCTTGACAATAACATCTGGGTGATGGAAGTTTATTTGTGGGGTTTTCTGTGAGCTGTCCTGAGTCAATTCAGTGCAACCTTTGGAAAATGTATAAGTAAAATTTGATGGTACCTTCAATACCTGTTTCCACTGGTGACACTGAAATAAGAAACACTTGAGTTTTGAATTCAAGGTCCAGAATTCAAAATTGCTTTCACAATGTAATAATATTAAAATTATAAAATGTAAAGAGTCCCAGCAAAACCACTAAGGGGCAAAACTGAATGGGCAAAGAATATGACCACATTATACAGATGATGGAGTCTTTGCTAGACAATCTGTTCAAAATGGCAGTAACTCATGCTGGTCAGCTTGTGGGAGCAAGGCCTCTTGTGTACTGTCAGGGGAAGTATGAAGAGGTGCCAACATTTTATAAGGACTCAATCAAATTTCCTATGCTCCAGGCCCTTTAACCCAGCAGACTCCCCTTAAGATTAACAACTTCCTCGAGAAAGATGTATGTACAAGAACGCTTGTTGGAGCACTATTTGAAATTGCAAAACACTGTAAATAATCTGCAGAAGTGCAAAGTACAGTGGCAGTAACCAGGCAGCTCACCACATGATATTGTAGGAAATCAGTAGTGGAGTTCACTGTCATAAAGCAAAAGCCAAACAGTGCATGTCTACTGAAAAATACTGGAAGGACACCCACCAAACTGCACAGAATTAGCGCAACCAGAGAGAGCACGGAAGGAAGGAGGGAAACCATTTCCCCTTTTAGCTGTCTCTTTGGGGGATTTTTTTTTTTTGCATTGCTTGCAATTTTTCCACTAACTTATAGTGTCCTTTTAATTAAAAACCAAAAACAAAGCAAAATAGAGAAAGTGAAAAAATAAACCAGCACAAGAGTTCTGCAGTTCTTCATTCAACAAATAGTAAATGCTCACCACCGCCGGATTCGAGGTAAGTCCTGAAGACATTCTCTCCCTCTCCTTCTCTCCCAGCCCTAGACCACTGGGTCTTGTTAGTCTATCAACTCCTGACCCACCCTTCAAAGGTCAGCTTCCTCTGGAAGCTTATCACAGATACCTCTAGGCAGAGATAGAGATTTTTTCCGTCAGCTTCCTTGTTCACACCCCAATGGAGATACTTATCTCATGGGGACAATTACTCCCTGACAAATCTGTCCTCCCAACTTTTTCTTTGCTTCTGCCATGGCCTTTTCTTTTGCATCTCTGGCAGTGAGCAAGGTGACAGCTCTTAGAGACACACACACGGCATATGGAGGCCAGGGAACAGGAGGAGGAGTGCTCCTACTGAGGCCTGGCTCACCCTGACTTGCTGGTGTGATGTTGGGGAAGCTCATGAACTTCTCTGCACCTCAATAAAGCCAGAAAAATATCAGCTCTGAAGGCACAATGATTTTGTGATTTCTTTAAAAAGTCACAATCCAAGGTAAGATCTCCGGGCCTCCCTGGTGGCACAAGGGGTTAAGTGGTTAAGTCTCAGCACTAGGAAGCAATTTGCAGCCACTGCGGCACCAGTTTGATCCCTGACCCGGGAGGTAACTACCTGGCATAGCAGACCTCTCAGGTCTCCCCACTGCTCCCCTCAGCAGCCTGTTCTGCTTCCCTCTCTCTCTCTCTGGTGAATCCTCTCACCCTCCAGCACTCTTGGCCTGCAACCCAGCCCCAGATCAATTTATGTAGCATAATAAATAAATCTTAAAATACCATCCTTGCTCTGCCACTGAGGATATGCCTCAGGCTGAATCCCTTATTTATTCTTACCTGAACAGTAAAATGAGGATAACAATGGTCAATCCCCTTATAAAGTGTTTGTTATTGTTACAGGTTACTGGGCCCAGTAAAAAGAATCACTTAAAAGAAAGGGTGGGGGCCCTCCCTGGGCAGCGGATTAAAGCACAGCACTAAGAAGCTACAGCCACTTTCTCATGAGTTCGATCCCCACCTGCTCTGGAGGTGACCACACGATGTGGCAGACCTCTCCCGACCCGCCAGCTGCTCCCCCAGCAGTGTACTTTGTTGATCTCTCTGTTCTGCTCCCCACTCTGTCTCTGGTGAATCGTCTCACTGCCCCCTGCACCTCTGGCCTGTACCCCAGTTCTGTATGCATAAATAAATAAATCTTTAAAAAAAAAAAGGTGGAAGAAAAGTTTCATTCAGTGGCTGCCTCAGGGAAGTGCTGAATGAACAGTAGCTGTTATTACAATTTACAAGGTTATTTATTCCCTCCGGTGCCCCTCCTCCCCCAGCATGGGAAGAAATAAAGCTGGATGCAACTTACGTCAAGAAGATCTTGGAAATACTTTCTTTTCTCCCACGGCAAAAAGCCCAGGTAGCCATCCACATAATGTTGCAGTTTTCTTCCAGGGACCACTTCATTAACACCTATGTTACTTCTAACATTCTCCTCCCTGCTGCTTTTCTCTTGTGTTTCCCCTGTGACTTTATTTTCTCTCGGTATGTGGTTTTCTAGGGGATCAACGAGAGTTGAGAGCTTCTCTCTTAGAACACTTGTGCCTCTGAGTTTTGGGGTCTGAGCGCCCAGGTGTGGGTTCTGACTGCGGTGCTGGCCAACCGCTGCCAGGGAGGTCGCCCTCTGTGATCTTTCCGATGTTCCTAGGCTGCTTGGCAAGCTGCTTTTGTGAACCTGGTTTCCCAGCAGGGCCTCCAAACTGCCATTTCTTTGACCTGTTACCATAGTTTGATAGATTTTCACTTCACCTTCTGGTAAGGTCATCAAGAAAGCCCTCAGCAAGGCTGACTTGGACACATTGTACCCCTTTACTGTGATGTCCCCAGCCTGGAGCTGCAGGTCCAAGTTTTTGAGACTCAACTGGACCTCCTTTGGAAGGAGGGAAATGTTTACCAGGGGAATTTTCACCTCCTCCTGGAACCTTCCAGTCGTATTCACATTGTGTCTCCTAACCTTTGGGAAGCGTTTTTCTTCAGGAATATCCTCAAACAGGACTTCTACCTCTGGAAGAGGTGTTGTGGGGCTCCCCAAACTCGGGGGAGACTGTTGGGTCGTAGAATTCAGTTTCAGTTCCTCTCTTGTGTCCACCTCCACTACTATTTGGATTTTGAACTCTTCGTTGTTTGCCTTTTGAAGCGTGAGGTTAAAGTGTATTGTGGTGGCATTCATCCCGCTGTGCATTATGAGGTGAATGGTTTTCCATTTATTGGCAATAGAAGCGTGTCGAATGATTGGATTATCGCTATAGGCACCTTCGACTCCTCTCTTGGCTATTTCTGCAAAGCTGAAATAAGGTAGGTATTCACCCTTTGGAATAACATAGTGAGTCTGGTTTGGGAGAAGAGTTACTTTATATAACTCATGAAAATGATCTAGAGGAAAAAACACAAACACGACTTTTAAGATCTAGGCATTCCTCCCAATCCCATTTTCCTTTCATTCTTGGGGTTTGAGTTTTCTAAGAGTGATTTTAAGTAACAAAATAATCAAAACCTTCACCAGAAATTTTAACACAAAAGCCCCTTTGGACAGGGCTCCTTTTACTAGCCGGGGCAATCACAACTATCAACCTGGAGGCCAACTTGACTCACTACCAGGACACAGCGCAATTCTAATGGTGGCCTTCCAATTTCCATCCATTTGAAAAAAAATGCAAATTTCTGCAAAATAATCTCCCTCAATAAGCTATCCAGGAACATTAAATAAGCTATGAAACCAATTAGAACCATCCTAGTGATTTATCAGTCTTCTTTCATTGTTTCCAAATTCAAGCCCTCACCATACATTTTCAACTAAATTTACAGTAACAGAAAAAGGTACAGTTTATCTAAGAATCTGTGTCCTCCCAATTCACAACCAGTTCGCATGCTAGGCTGGGAAAGGGATACACGGAGAATAATTAAGTAACAGCAACCATCCTAAACCCCCTCTCTACTTATCAAGGAATTTTACCCCCTTATTCTTAGTATGTTCCCAAAGCAACAAATATACCTTGCCCACAGTCACCAGCATCAAACCCACAGGACAAGACATTGCAGGCTTGGTCACAGAACTTATCAGCGAGCCAGGAGTTTGCACATCCTTGGTTACAGTAAGAGACACTGTTGATTCCTCCACCGAATTGCCAGGGCTGCCCGACTCCAATGCTCCCAGTCCCAACACCTCCTGCGATGTAGCGACTCCCTCCACTGTTACCTGCAGCCGGGCAAGGAAGACAGAACTCACTGTGACCTTGAAAAAGAGGCTATAAATGTTCTTCACTTGTTAGTAGCATTTGCAAGAGTAATGTCACAATATCAGTCCGAAAAAAGGTTCACTCCATTCTCTGGCATTAGACTTTCTATAGCTTAGGAAGAAAACAAACTGAAAGGTTAGGGGGGAGGCATCATTTCACAGTGGGCTGGGCAGATGACCAGGTCTTGGTCCTGACAGCTGTGGACCCTAGAGGTACAATTATGTTAACACCATTGTCCATTGGTTCTTCAGAACTGCAACTTTGAGCCAAATGGTAGCTAACAAAATCAGATCTAGTAAGGACATTGGCTAGGATGGTTACAATGAAATAAGGCTGCATGAAACATCATCTGATTACACAGATCTCTAATTCACACTAGTGGCCAGATGAGTGTGGAGCAGCAGGGCAACAGGGAGACAGTAATCCAGACTGAGACTCAGAACTGCCCAAAACATGTCCTGGCAGGGGCAAGCCTCATCATCAAAACTTCAGGACTACTCTGCACATCCGAGCTCTCTCTGCAGCTGCCAGAGGGCATCTGACAGATCTGACTGAAACACAGCTTGAAGCTTTGTGGCCCCCAGTAACTGAAACTCCCAAGTCTGTCCTCCCGAGGCACGCAGGGATGCTGCCGTGGGTGCGGCTCCCTGTCTCAGGGGCTACTTATACGACGCATGATGCTTTATATACGGGAAGGCAGTAAGGGTGAAACTTGCTAATTTCAACTTGTTCAAATTTGAGTATGCAAGAAAGGGAGTAGAGGCGCTGAGTGGGTGTTTATTCTTTCACACCTCCTCGGCACTTGCTGACCACTGGTGGCTACAAGCCACCAACTACCCCTCAGCACGAGTTACAGGGACATCATGCTCTTCGGCTCACATCACTAAGGTATTTCTGATTTTTATATTTTAAGTGCAGGCCAGCAGTGGGAAATGCCTGCACTGACTCAGGTGAGCGAACTGGCCACTGGTCATCTCTGCAAGGATCTCTGGGGTGCTGAGGGTCCAATACCGGAGCAACACTTCATGGTCACTGTGCATGTCAGTGACAATGAGGAACGAAAGGGTCCCCGAGAGTGAGCAAACCTCACCTGCAGATACCCTTACCTGAGCAATCACCACCATCCCAGTCACAGGCTGAGTTATTACAAGCCTTGTCACAGTAGCCATCTTTAATCCAGGATCCGGGGCAGCCCTCGGCACAATTGGGCACGGGCCATGTCAAATAAACCTACAACAAAACCAGAAGGAAAACAAAAGACCCTCTAAAGTCTCATTGGGATTCTTCTAAAAATACACAATATTCAAGTCTCTAGAACAGAGGAACACTTTCCGTGGGCTGTCTGCCTTTGAGGGGCACGTTCTGCATAGGCTGGCCCGCCCCTGTGATTCTCTAAGTCCTGCTCTGGTGACAATTCTCACAAAGCACCTTTACTCTTTCCCGTGACTCAGGGAAAGCAGATCGCCCCCAGCTCACGGATTAGCCTCCTACAGTCTTATCACACTGTCTTATAATCTATTTTACATAAAACAGCAACACCTTGGACTTACGAGGTACAGAAGTGTGCCAGAGCGGGTGCAAAGTAGGCCATACAAGTTACCGCTTCTCTGTGACAACTGTCAGTGACGCCAGCTTTGTGTATCTACGCATGACCTTGTCTCAAGCCTGAGCACAGCTTCAGACCCTCGCCTCGCACTTTAGGGCCTGCGATGGATCCACCAACACAGCTTGCTGAACGGTGCCCCCACTGCTCTCAACATGAGTGATGGGGTGCACGGTTGCCCTTTACCCCGTGTGACACCCTTTCAGAGCCGCCATGCCTCTGCACATTCTGCTTGGGATGTCCTTCTTCATTTAATTAAGTCTTACTTGCTCTGCAAAGCTCCCTTCCACTCAGTTGGGCATTCTTCCCTCTCCCTGATCGCAGCCTCCTGCACTCCCTCTCTCAGCACTCGGGGCACAGCTGCTGGCACAGCAATCACTGTGCAGTCAGACCGTGTGTCTCCGCTGTCAAGACACCGCTCAACTCTGCATGCAACAGCACAACACAGAGGAGCTGGGCACGAGCACCCTGTCGGGGCAGGGATAGCCCAGAAGTAGCATCTCTGCAATGCACACGACAGGCGTGGTGCTCTCCGACTTACAAACCTAAGGTGGAGGGCTCTAGCTTACCACTGAACGCTCCTGACATCACCAGGGGTCACCCTACCTCCCCCACACTGCAGACAGGAAGCAGCGGCCAAATCATTGCCCAGGACTGTCCCACACAGTTGGTTTCCATAACTGTCTCACAACCACCCTCCAGCCTGCCTCTAAAATCCAGAGTGAGACAGGCTGCCTTCAATGAACTTTCATCTGGGCCCCCTGGGCCCCCAACCATCTCATTCATTCCCTTGACCTTTTCTCCCTCCTCCCATCATCCATGTCTTTAAGCAGAAAATGGCATCAACTTTCTATCTTGGACCGTGCTGACACTATAACCATGATATGAGGTTTCAAGGTGATCTCGCTTCTATTGCTGCTGTAGAAATGTAGACTCGGGGAAATGAGTGGGTCTGAGCATCTGAAAGTACAAGAAGCAAAACTACTAGACAGCAAATCCTGCTACTCACTTCTCTGACCTGAACTGAGCACTCAAACATGCACGGATGCACGATAATCTGATGATTTCCTGACTGACCACTATAATTTCTAAATGGTGACTAAGCTAGGTACTCACCTTCTGACCTTTGGAATGACTGTAAAAATCATCTGGCCAGACGTCCTTCCCAAACATGACATCATCATTCAGGTAAATAAATTTCTGAGACAGCCCCTCGATGCGATGAATGTGACTTTCGATTGCAGGGGAACTAAAGGTAGGTAAGTGGCTCAAATTTTGAAAGATATCCTTTTAACAGAAAAGAAAAAAAAAAAGAGAGAGTGGGCAAGAGCTTTTTTGTTTTTTGGAAAATAGGGCAGGAGATGGACAGCAGGCTGTACGTAAGGTCAAAGAGCAGGTGAGGAAGGTGAAGGGGATGAAACAGGGATAAATAACTGAAAAGCAAGACAGGAAGGGGACCACGGTCTGCGAGGCTGCGGAGGGCACACCTGGTGTGTCACTATGGTCACGCGGGGATTGTCCAGGTTGAGCCAGGATGGAATCTGCCCGTTGGTGACAATGAAAATATTCCGGACCCACGGGGCATGCCGCGCGATGGAGCGCAGGGAGTACCGCAGCTCTTCGTTATCCTCAAACCGGCTGGGAGACACGTCTTCATCCTGCTTCGACTGAGAGAGCATCTGGTGTGAAGAAGCATCCTGTCTGTCCCCTCTGCCCCATCCGCCAGGGGCTTAGGCCGACCTGGACAGACCCAATCCCAAATCCTGCTTTTTAAGCATTAGAAAAATGCAGAAGACTTGCCATATTTAAAACAACAAAGGCACACAGACAATCTAGATCACACTAGAAAGGGTTCTTGGATCTGATTCTAGGTCACTTCAACTGATGTTAACCAAGGGCAATGACTGGAAAATTAGAGAAACTTCCCCTGTGTAAATCCTCTGCAATCTAGTGACCTATAATTCATTGGCCATCTAGACAGCCCCCCCCCACACACACACTTTAAAAGGATCCCTGCATCTCCCACCTGGCTGATGGCACTCAGGTCCCATAATAAATATGCAGGACTGATGGTCAGCTCCTTCCCATCGATGGTCATGTTCTTCTTAGTCTGCTTACTCAGTTCCTGGAAATCTTTGGGGTTGTTCAATTTTAGAAGTGCCACACTGGCTTCAGAATACAACTGCAACTATAAATTAACGAGAGGTTACATGTAGAAAAACTGAGGCACCTTTATATTCTCAGTTTAATACATATATAATACACATATACACACCACACACGCACACACATATACTCACAATATATGAAATATAATACATATAACATACATGTTGTGTGTTTGAACTAAATATTAAAATATTTATATACATATGTCTACACACACATAATAGCAAGAAATATCAACCCAAAAAAAGCCTACATGAGCAGACACGTTTCCCAAATGAATGGCAAGAGAAGAGGGGTTGGTACAAGGGATACAAGGCCTACCACGCCCTGTGTGGAAGCTGCAGCCACAGCAACTCGTGCCAGATACCCTGACACCAGAATGCCTGGTGTTATACTATTGAAAGAAAACATATCTGGTCACCTGTTTGTAACCTTTTTTAAGAATATTACCAGCATGGGGGGAAAACAACCTTGTAAAGTGACTTCGCAGCCTGCTGATAGTGTCTGAGCAGCTTCTGTGCTCCACCTCCAAGGTGGTCTGCTGACGTGTTTCCTTGGGAAGGCAGGTAAGCAGCTCCACAGGAAGCATTGGGGCACAGAGCTTGTGATGCAACCACAAACCCAGGCAAGAGCATCGTAACCATCGACAAGTTTTACAAAAAGTATGGATCCGAGTTCAGATCACCCTTGATCTGTTTTAAGCTCTAACTCTGCAACAAACAATTTCCTATTTTAAAAAAAGTTTTCAGAGCTTAGAAGTTTGGAAATCACTAATCCAGAACAATAAAATCCTTCTGCTGAGCTGTCTCTTCCAGCAAAATCTCTGCCCTTCTTTCTTAGTTTATGAAACAGAAGTGAACACAAATTATTAAGGGCTCATTCTGAGGGCTATATGACTACACTGAACCCATTCCTCTAAGTTGTTTGCATTTATGTATGCCAAAAACTAGAGATTGGAGCTACAATTTCATTTATAGCCTTTCCCCTTATTATGTAGTCCATTAACGCTTATCACAAAGTACACACATATTGTGCCCTGGTTATTTCCCTTCCCTGGGACAGTGCCTGTCATGTACTAAGCACCCATGACAACTGCCAGTCACTGCTGGCACCACCCTGATTGGAGGGGGGGGGACACAGGTTCTGCAGACAGAATATTCATCTGGACATCTGGGGAGTCGCACTGCCACTCACTCCCAGCGTCCTCCCTCCAAACAGCACCTCTGAGGCCCCCCTGGACAACGAAAAACACTCCTCTAGAATAAACAAGTATAGCACTTTAATTTCTAATTCAATTTGAAATTTATGGGAATAATACCTCTCTCTTAACTTCTTATATCCAAACTGCTTTTATTCTTAAAAACTACTTTGAAACTTCACAGGCATCTTATAATGTAACTAATCAATAACTGGAAGACAAATGACAAGGGTTTAAGAGAATATGTATGAGCAAGATCTCTGCTGAAAGCCATCAACTTGTCAGAAAAGGGCGCCCTCTCTAGCCACTAGGGGGCACCCCAGACCAGCATCTTAATTACTCTCTAAAAACCTTGGAATCTTTGTTTTTGATGGTTCATAATGCACAAGTCCTCAGGTGGACAAATAAACATTCATTTGGCTATGGGAGGTTCAAAAGAAACTATGATAAAATTATACAGCCAGTTGGAAAGAATTTCCACAGAACGCACTTTATAAAACTGTTGGGCTTCATTCCAATAACCTGAAAGATAGCGCTAAACCCTATTCAGGGTCACATCATTCCAGAATCAATAGTTATTGCCAGTAACTATTAATATGAGGTGGGGAAAAGAACAAAAATATGTTTGGTGCAGACAGAAGAGTATAATGACACACTGTTCTTCACACAGATGTCTGCAGACTTTCTGCAACTGTAATCCAGGAATTTTAAACCATGCAATACAGACCAATTTTGCCCTCTAAAGTAAATTGGCTTCTTAAAACTATGCTGTAAACGTAGAAGCCCTTCTTCCCTCCAGAGTCTCTCATGACAACAGTTATTGAAGGGGAATCAGTTGTCTGACTTTGTGGGCAGAAAGTGAAAACCAAAGGAAAAAGAGGGACTTGGTGGGTAGCTGGTGCAAGCAGGAAATCACGCGCTCTTCTCTGTGCTGCTTCTCATTCTGGCTCTTTCTTCTCTCTTCTTCAGACCACCCATGTTAGCTCTCAACGTGCTTTAACACACCACCTATGTCTTACTAACTTCACAGCATTCGTCTATCTTCCATCAGTAGCTCTTCAGATGTCTGTTGTCTGAGGGCCAAAAAGCTTCCACGGGACCTTTCCTTGGAATAGGTTTATTTCGACCACCATACTTCTTCAGGGTGATGGACATGCTACACAATATCCTGCACTTCTGGAAAAGTCTGGCCAGCTCCTTTAGGAACTGCTTGCTCTCTGGCAGTAAACACTGCCGCTGGCCCTTAATTACTTTGCCAGAGGAGAGAGAGAAGGTAGCAAGGAAAAGTGGTTGCAGTAAGCACCTGAGGTTGGAGTTAGCTTGGGCAGCTGCATCCATATTTATGAAGAGCTTCTTGCTTGAAAAGTAAGTTTGTCTAACTCCTTAATGATACGTGCCCAACAGAGAACAACTTCCACAGCCAACACTAGCACACCCACAACAGATATGCAGCATGAGCGAGAAGTAAAGCTCTGCTATTTTTAAGTCACTGGGACTTTGGGACACTTACTGCTCTGGCGTTATTTAGAAGACTATGATGGTTACGCCTATGTATGGTAGTGATAGGTGAAGGGAGAAACATGCTAGTTGCTACCATTGAAAACAAGTTAGCTCTTTCTAGCAACTGGACAACTCAATAGGTCTTAATATATCTGGGCGGTTTTTTGAAACTTAAATCTGTTCTACAGTTGCTTGTTTAATTGCCTGAAGTATTTATTTAGGAATAAGGAAAGGGTGCCATGCTTTAAAAGAGCAGGTGCATAAGCTGGTTTTGGGCAAGTCTCCAAAAAAAAGAGAATTAGCACAATTTTAGTACAAATTACTGATGATGAACCTGCCCTGAAGAGAGGCCTGAGGAAATATGCTGTCCTGCCCCTTGGCGCTGCCCTTCCTCATGTTGTTCCACCTGTAGCTATGCCTGTCCCACTAAAACAAGTGGCCTGTTCAACCTCCAGGGACCCCTGCAGCACCCTCCCCTTGAGATCTTCCCCCATGTCGCTGACGCACACAGACCTTTCGGTTTCAACACGCAGGCCTAGGTTGTCCTGTTCTCTCAGTATCTTAACTCATGCACTCACTCTGCTACTTGAGTACTATGCACTCATTACCTCTGAATGTGATTTTAAGGAATGTGAGGAGAAGCATGCCTACTCAGCAACCACTATCACTGCATTAAACCAAATGTGAGGATATGCCTGAGAGCCTTGGGAAAAATTTTCAACTAACCTAACAGATGTTAAGAAGGAGAAAAACAAACAAAAAAAACCCAGAAATGAAAATTTCTAAAAACAGATGATTTAGAGTAAGCTGAGGCCAGTTTCAAGACCTCATTCCCCTCTAGGGGTTGGGGAGAATGGGGGTTCTGGTTTGGTTGGGAACTGAATATAGGGGAAGTGAAGCTGCCCTGGGAACGCAAGCCTGGAGCCATACGTCTGGAGAACACTGTGTGTAATCACACTGCTGCCACATTTTCCTTATCATCCAAGACGCTGAACTTGCAGCTATTCTAACAGTCACAACTTTTCTTCTCACTCATTCCTTTAAGTACTTCTTGAGCCAGGTCCCAAGGTAATCAATACAGACATAAAGGTGAACACAGTACCTGTCCTAAGACACTTGTGGCTGGAACAGGGCCTCTGGGGCAGAACCAAGCCCGAGGTGGCTCTGGGGCCACTGGCCTTGCCCAGAAGGGGCTCAGGAATATAAAAGGCTCAGCTGTTCAAGTTCTCAAGTCCAAGGCTTAACAGCCTTTTCCTCCTACAAACTTCAAAGTACCTTGGACATTACATACCTAATCTGACTCAGGTTTCCTTCCTTCTCCCCATGAAGCTGAGTGTGGTGAAATCCAACAGCTAGTGTGTCACCAGGTTGTGATGAGGGTCCTTCTCGGGTATTTCTGGAACCATCCTCATCACTGGCACCCCTGCTCAGGTACATGTGGAACCCGATTGTCTAGCTGGACTATGGCACAGGTGACCAAACTGGTTTTCCTATCTCCAAGCAACCTCTCATCCAAGCTCTACCTGCTAGATATTTCCCTAATAGGTTCCTCAATATCAGATTGAGTCCTCCTCCCCCTGGCGAGGCTCCTGGCCTCCTGGTCCAAGTTCCTGACCAGGCCCTGCCCTCCAGAACAGTGGCCTTTGTTCTCCGAAATATGGCTGACTTGCAGGCCCTGGGTCCATTGCTCAGGCTGGGACAGCGTCCCCTCATTTTTCTCTGCTGGGAGAAAAGCTGCTCTGTTTAGGGCCCAGCTAAAGTGGTCCTGTTCTGCCAAGACTTCGTGGCCCCAGCACACCGACAGCCCAGGTGTCCTCATGGCACTCTGCGTGTTTAGAAATTTAGAAGTCACGACACCCCCTTCCCCAAATTCTTTAAGTGTTTTATTTAGTGATGCTTAGCACATTCTCTGGCACACAGTAGGCATTTAATAAACACTGGACCAGGAGCCCAGACACAGGAAATTCCCTTTTTGGAGCCCTCATAATAAAACCAGGAAGTGAGACGTGAGCAAAGTCACTTGAAGAAGTGGATTCCAAAGCTGGCATTCTCCTAGTCTTCCCTCTCTCATTGTCTCGCCAGCCTCTCAAAATCAAGGGCCCTAATGCCTGAATTTGATCACATGTTAGAATCTTGCAAACAGCCTGCAATGAGTATTCACAGGGAAACAGCTGGACTTCCCAGAAGCACCAGCTCCAGGGAGATGGCAGGGAACCCGGACAAATCTCCCCTGGGGGAGACCAGCTGGTACTGCCTCGGGCTGCGCGCTGAGCTCGGGAGTGCTCTGCACTGGTGAGAGCGGGCTGTGCTCTGAGCACCCGCTGCGAACAGGGCCCTGCGCATCACGTGACACATGCTGTGCTGACTGTTCTGTCTCCTATGCTCTTACCAGTTTTATTTTTGAAGAAAGATTTTCTGGCAATTTTGTTTTCAGTTGATTTGTTTCCTTGAAAGTGGGTGGAAATCCACTCAGGAAAGCCAAGTCTTGCATTAGCACTAATCCTGGGACTTCTTTATCTGTTGTCTTAAATAAGACAGGGGAAAGAAACACACAAGTCATTTTCCATATCATCAGACAGGCGAAAATTACAGCTGAGAAAACTTATGCTGCTCTATTGCATCATACAAGATTCAAAAATAAGATTTCTTAAGTCAACATTCATTAATGCTAGTAAGCTAGCCCGAGGGAAAAAGTAAACATTAAAAACTCAACAGACGGGGCCCTCTCTGGTGGCACAAGGGGCTAAAGCGCAGCACCATGAAGCTGACCTCAGCAGCGTAAGTTCGATCTCTGGGCAGGGAGCTGACCCACACGGCCCAGCAGATCAATCCCATCTTGCCCGCGGCTCCCCTCAGCAGTGTATCTCAGTCAATCTGCCTTTTCTGTTCCCTACTCTGTTCTGGTGACTCCTTTCACCCCCTGCACCTCTAGCCTGTATGCATAAATAACTAAATCTTTAAAAATAAAAATAAAAACTACACACACATAAATAACTAAATCTTTAAAAATAAAAATAAAAACCACACACACACACACACACACACACACACACAAAAGGTATAGCCCCTAATCTGCGGCAAAAATACCATGAAGTTTAAAGTCACATACCAAGTAGCCCCTCCAAACTGTCTGTTTGCTGTTTCCTTTGGACACTGCAGCGTGGGCATCTTCAACTACCGTACAATACAATAAAGAAGTGCATTTTTAGTGAAACCTTTCTGACAGGCAGTGAACACAGCATCTGAGGGCTGTTAAAGTCGTAAACACCCCCCAAACACCCTCAAAATCACAGTTGGGGGAGTGAAAAATAACCCACTCAAAAGAAGTTTGTAGGGAGGGAGGGAGGAGAGAGTCACATGGGCAGCAGACGTGTGGAATGTGGCTCTGGGCCAGTCACATTTAAACTGAATCTCAAGGAAGGAAACGGCAGTCACAAAAATGTCTAATAAAACATGTTTAATGAAAACAGAGCATTGCTCGGCTCGAGCCAAACACTCAGGAGTGGTGAATACTAGGAAAGGGCCCCTCCCAAAGAACCCTGAGATGCTCTGTCAGTGCTGAGCAGACATGTTAAGTGGAGGGAGGACGAAGAGACACAGCCCACTGGGAGCGCTGCCGTGGACACGCAGGGGCAGGGGAAGCCATGAGGGGTTGGAAGGTACAATGGGCCGAAACAGCAAATGGTAGCTGGCAATTTGGACGTCAAAAGCCTCGGGGCGCCACGAAAGTTTGTAGGTGAGCACTGGAGAGGAGCAGCCATTGATATTTAAAACATGCTGAGTGTGAGTTCACTGTGACGAACTTATCAGGGGCACGCCTCTTCATGTCTTTCTCCCCACTGATCTACCCCAGCAGACTAGAGAGCTCTAACAGATGCAGTGCATTTATGTAACCTGAGCAAGGCAGCTTGTCATCTCGGTGGAAAAGACACATACAGGCTAGACTGCCAGTTCCGTGGACTATAGCCCATTCTGCCTGGACAGTACAAATGATAAAGATGCGATTACCCTATAGAAAGGTTTCAGGGGACTGTCATAGGTTCCCTCTTGTTGAATTCACTATTAAGAGTTTGGAAAACACAAAAGTCATATTTGTGAAATGTGTGCAGTTTACACAGAATTGACCTAAGTATTATGCTGGGTAACAGACTAAGGGTTCCCCCCAGTTTTCTTACTACTGATCAGTGAGTCAAATCTAGCAAAGTAGTATCTCCTACAAAGGAAAAAGACATTCTACAAAGACAGACTGCAAATAGGTACGTGAAAAAAAATGTTCACCATCATTCATTTATGAGAGAAATGAAATCAAGACCATAATGAGATACCACCTCACCCCTGTGATAAGGGACACAACAAGTGCTGGCAAGGATGCAGAGAAAAGGGACCTCCTACATGCTGCTGGGACTGCGAATTGCTCAGCCCAGCTTAACACATTAAAAATGGATCAGTCACTCAAACCAGTACTTTCATCCCTCAGCATGTACACTCAAAATTCAAAAAACACTAATTCGAAAAGAAACTTAAACTCCCATGTTTACTGGAGCGCTATTTACTGTAGCTCAATTATGGAACAACCTAAATGCCCCAAAACAGATAAATTCATCAAGATATGGTATAAATACACAATAGACTATGACTCAGCCATCTGAAAAGATAAACTCAAGCCACCTGCTGCACACTGATGGAGCTGGGAGGGATTATGCTAAGCAAAAAAGTCAGGAGGAAAAAGATAAATACCAGATGATGTCACTTTGTATGTGGAATATAAAGTCACATAAATATTAGCTTAGAAACTAACCCTGATAGCTGACTACAGAAGTGAGGGTCCATGACAAAGAGGGAAGGAAGCACGTGGACTATGGTGGGGGCTCTGGGTGAGCTTTAGCTGGGTGCACCATGGGCCACTATGGTACCACCAGATGAAGGTATCCAAACAGTACTCAATTAAAAAAGAAAAAAGAAAAGTGAGCGTTGTTTAAAGATAAAGTGAATTGTCAGAGGAGGAAATTTACTTCCAACACATCAAAGGGTCAGATAAGCTTCACTGGAAAAGTCACTTTGCTGAGACCCAGGTCCAGGCTACAGGACTGGATCACATGACTGCTGAGTGTGATCCAGTCGATAAGAGTCTAAGACACAAACAAGGAGGTCAGATATAGCACATTTCAAAAGTAAAAGAAAAGCCAACAGATTTCCATGATGAACTAATAAAGGTTAAATGAGGTCAACGAAACAACAAATGTGGCCAGTTTTTTCATCTACTTCAGGGGCTGGCAATCCATGGGCGAAACCTAGCTTCTGCCTGTTGTTATATCTCTAAGCTAAGAACAATTTATGAGAAATACACGCCCCATGAAGGCAGGAACATGGCCCTTTTGTTCTCTGCTACTCCCTGTTACCCAAAAAACAACCAATTCAGAGTAACAAATCTTTCCTGAGTGATTGATTGAATATAGTAAGTAGGGCAGACAAACAGAAATCCACTTGGAATTCAAAAACAGTGTTTAGAAAGCTACGGTTTACTACGGAATTTATGTTGAAACTTATGTAAGTCTTTACTGTATCATAAAACCAGAGGAAAAACCCACGACTTGTTTATTAGACACTAGAATGTCTAATTATTGGGTGACATTACCAGACCCTGTTAATTTCAAGAAACATTAACAATAACTTAACAAAGCTAAATTTAGTCAAACAATTCATCAAAGATTATCCCTTAACTTTCCCTATATATTCAAAATGTAACTAAGGAAAAAAAAATCACTGTACAAAATAGTTGAACAGATCTACAGTGTGCAAGGAGAGATGACAGGTATCTCGCTGAGGTCCTTACTGAGCTCTGTTAGGCATTATCCAGGACACAAAGGGATGAGTGATAAGAATCTGCTTGACAGAGGATTCAGATAAGGACACCAGAAACTCCTGTGCAATCCCAAATTGTGAGTTAGGTGACAAGTACCACAGACAAGACAGTAGAAAAGTTAAGGTTGTGAGTATACCAGGCCAAGATCTTTGTGAAGGAGATTGATCTTGAGACTGAGCTGGACAGGAGCCGGGCTGGAAGAGGGTAGTGTGTTGGGAAGAAGCTGACAAGAAGAGGAGGGAAAGGGACCCTGAGAACCAGTGGGCGCAGTCCGGGCAATCAAAGCTGAGCACCAGGAAGAGGGGGTTGCAGCCATGTGGAAAACAAGTACACATTACCTAGCACATCATTCGCTTCAAAAAGGAAGTGAGTTGATAAGATCAGGGCTTTCTGATTCATCTCCAACTGTGTGCTGGAAGGACGGCAGAAAAACTCCGGGAAGACAGAGAATGAGGAGACTACTGCTGGAATCTGTGTGAAGGATTCAGCTTGGTGCAGCAGAAATGAGACGAGCAAGAAAGGCAAAGATCTAAGAATCATTTACAAAACACAAAAGCAAGTAACAGAAGGAGGTTAATTATTAGTTATGGAGGTAAAAGGAAGAATGGGTCAGAGATGAGTCCAAAGACTTAAGTGGGGATGTGTGACACAGAGAGAACGGGAACTCAGAACAGGACCCAGTGCTGCGGAGGGAACGTGCCAGTTTTCACTTTACAGAGGTGAAGGACGTAGAGCCTCCAAGTAGAGGTTCAGCACAGAGGGAGACGAAAGACAAGAGGTGAGAGTGGAGATGCTGGCCCGAGGCCCCAAAGCTCAGTGACCCAGCGAAGGATGGAATCTCCAAGATTTGGATGCAGCTTGATGACAGAATTACAATCGATTCGACCATCCAGTCAAGTGAAGAGTATAATTAGATGTTTATAAACAGTCCTATAAAGTAGGACTGTTCCAGGTACAGGTCTGTTCTCTCCAAACTGCAGAAAACAACTTGCTGAGGAGTTATATGAGGGGAAGGCACCTCCAGAGTCACCCGGAGTCATGAGAATACAGTAAACAGAAGAATGAAGACCTGGCTGTGGCACAGAAGAGCATTTGTATTAGAGTAAATTATGTGCACCTCCTTCCTGAGGTCAGGGCTGAGGACAGGAAGTTCTTTTGCTTCTCTTGTATGTTTTTACTTTATCGGGCATTTCTTCAAAACCAAATCATTTCTGTCCATTCAGAATTTTGTTGTTCAAACACCCATCCCTGGGGGCACAGGGATTAAGTCTCAGCACCATGGATTTATCACCACTGCTGTGGCACGAGTTCAATCCCAGGCCAGGGAGTGACCTACATGGCCCAGCAGGCCTCTCCTGTCTCCCCGCTGCTCCCCTCAGCAATGTATTTCAGTACATCTGCCTGTTCCGTCCCTACTCTGTCGCTGGTGAATCCTCTCACCTCTGCACCTCCAGCCTAAAACCCCAGTTCATGTATGCATCACTTTAAAAAAAGAAATATTCATCAGATCTTACCATTCTTGGTACTGTCAAAAACAACCACTGAGACATTAGTAGAAGGGTTTTTTGGCTTTGCCACATTGAATATGTCACTGGCAGAATGAAAAGCAGGGTAGCGAGCAGGCAGGTCCTTCAGGGTGACATTGGCTGGCAGGGCCGGGTCCAGGACAAGCATCGGCACCCTGACACAGTGCGTGAGGAGGCACTCCAGCTGCTTCTCACTGGGAAGAGATACCCCACACTGAAAGTGTCAGACTAAAATACAAATATCACAAATATTTATAATAGTAAAAATGCAGACAAGCCCAACATTTAGTAAATTGTCGAGTTACTTTATAATTGGAAAGTATGCAATGTGGAAATAATTCCTCAGCAGAAGTAATGACTATGATTTGCATAGTTTATAACTACAAACATGTATGAAAAGGGAGTAATACAATGATCACAGTTCTTGATGAAAGCTGACAAACACGTGTGTTCTTTCACTGCCCCTTCTGTACTGCTACATCATTGCTTTGACTTAAAAGTCATTTGAAAGTGATGGTGCTAACTATAAAATAATAAATCTACCAAATTAACAGAAAGAGATGATTAAGAAGCACCTCTGGCTTTCAAAATCCCTCAGTACCATTTTTAAGAAGAGATCTTGTCTCGAGTCTAGCAGGTAGGTGGGGAACTGACAGTCCCCCCTTGTCAAGGCGACAGTCTTGTTTCTGGACCTCTGAGAGTCAGGGAGGATTCAAATCGGGTGAGGGCTGTCTGATTCCTTATACTGGACTAAATAAACCCCTCAGACATATGACATACAACTATGACCGCATTTAAAGGAAATACTGACCACACAGATATGGATATAAATTCCTTAAGTGAGCAAGAGAATAGCACATCAAGTCAGATTAAAGGGAATGATAGAGAAGGAAACGCTTTCCCAGTACTTTCACAGCTTTGATTAGCTACCACCTGAATATTCAGTTTCTAATCAACTATGCATGGGCATTGCAAACATTCACATTCAGTGGATGTATTTAATTTGCAGGTCAAAAACAAAAACCAAAACAGCACAAGAGGTATTGAACAAAAGCAATGAGTAGATGTAAAATATTGTGTATCCAGCAAAAGCAAGGGAGAACATGGATTTAACATGGGAAAATAAAAATGCTTACCTCTTCTTAGTTGGTTCTGTTGTGTTCTTTCCCAGGATTTCTCTAGTGAGAGCAAACATATTTCATTATGTACTCATGGACTAGTACTGGCCCCAAATGTGAATAAAAGGAGACCGACAACATTGATTTTCTTGGTTACGCCACTGGCACTTACCAGTAGGTTAGGAAGTAATTAAAATGCATATAACAATGAAGATATATAATTAGTGACATCTCAGTGAAATGAACTCACAAACAATATATCACATGTTCTACGGTAACCATGACAGCTTATCAAAATGTTTACATTTTACTAGTAAAATATGGTATCAGGATGTCACAGTCATTTTCATGCAGAGGGAAGGTATTAGATTCTTTAAGACAGAGAGAAAGACAATTTGTTAGAGTGTAATGTAACCATCCCCACATAAAGTATACTAAATGGTCCAAATTACACTATCAAAAAATTTACATTTCTAGCTCCATGGTGTACTATGTGATATTTAAAGGTCGAAAAAAGTGAATATATTTCTTAGTGTCTTTGTCAAATAGAAAAATATAAGTCTCTAGGCTTATTTTGTTTTTCAAGGGAATAATGGGCCTGGTGAGGAAACTCTTCTGTGTAATAATACGTGTTGCATATTGCTGGGGCTCAGACTGAGCAAGCAGGAGCCAAGGGCCCCTCTTAACACATCACAACAGTGTCAAGATGATAAAATGGCCACCTGACAGAGCGAGACCAGGATCTCCCAAAGTTGCTCTTAGGCACCAAAACAATGACCAGACAACAGCTAGTACTGCCACAAGTCTGAAGACCAGGCTTTTGTTCAGGCAGCATTCTAAACATCACCTCATCCTTCTGAAATGGGCTGTTGCTTGTGCTCAGAGAATGTGTTGTGGGTTTTGGTTTTAAAATATCAGCTTTACCTCATTGCTTTCTGCTCCTCCTCCATCTGTTCTCTGACTTGCTGTAGCTCCTTCAGTAGTTCAAGATCGGTGCCATTCACCCAGGTGTAAACCACATCGATGGGCATGGGCAGACAGAGCCTAGGGTAAACCCACAAGACCTCCAGCTTACATGCGTTCTTCCGTTATTCAGGATTAAGAGCACGGGAGGGGTGAAACTTTGAGGTTTTGAAAACATCATCCGACCCAGGCATCTATCACAGGACCACCTGCTTTCAAACTGGAGCTAGGGGACTAACATTCATTGAGAAACTGCTTTGAGCTGACCCAATGGGGGACACTTTATGTGATCCTCACAGCCTCGGTAAGTAGGCAGCTGTCCCCCCACTTCTGAGAACGTGGAGGTCCTGGAAGCTCTTTCTGAACTGCTGCATTCCCAGTCTAGCAAACAAAGAAGCTACACTACACATGCAGCCAAAATGAGGGGGGAAACTAGAGGCCAAAACAAACCACTGAGGAAGAGTTAGCAAACAGCCCAGTGAAGCCCCAGCCGTCTTTAATGCTGGGGCCTTCCCCTTCCCTGCCGCCCCCAGCCTGCCAAAGCTCCTTGCTCCAGTTCTCTCTTTTGCTTCACAGTCCGTATCACCTTTCTAGCACATCAGATAATTAATTTGTAACTAGTAACTCAGATACTACTTGGGTAACTAGGGGCCCCTCCTCCAGCATACAAGCTCCAAGAAACAGTAAACTTTCCTGTTTGGTTCCCTAGAGTACCAACCAGACAGAGTGCCTGATACAGGAGCTCAGTGTGTGTCTGTTGAATCACTAACACCACAGGAGACCTTCAGGAACCTGCTAAGTTTTTCCCTTGATATCTTATCCTCAAAATAAGGAGTTGAGACGGCATTTAATTCTTGGCTTTGGTGTTTGTATTCAGGAGGTTCTGCTCCTGCTGAACTCTTCCCTTTTGTTTCACAACCAAAATCCCACCATCTCTCTTTAAAAAAAAAAAGAAAGAAAATTATTTATTTATGCCTACAGAACTGGGGTATGGGCTAGAGGTGCTGGGCCGGGGTGAGAGGATTCACCAGAGACAGAGTGGGGAGCAGGACAGGCAGATCAACTGAAATAACACTGCCAAGGGGAGCAGCAGGCCAGACAGGAGAGGTCTGCTGAGCCATGTGGGTCAGCTCCCTGGCTGTGCCAGGAATCAAGCTTGTGCTACAGTGGCTGCAGCTAGCTACATAGTGCTGTGCTTTGACCCATGGCACCACCAGGGAGGGCCCAACCCCACCATCTCTTAGGGCTGCTTCAGGCCTGTGGCATATGACTTTGGGTAGTTGTGTTTCAAGTGTGAACTTTTTCATGAAACGATATCTCTTCTTATGACTAGGAACACTGCATTCTGCCCCCTCTCTCTTCCTCACAGGCCAAGCACAGGGTGAAGCCCACAACAGAATGACAGGCTCCAAAAACGAACCAAAAACCACACTGTGCTTTTGGCTGCCATCAGACTACTCAGTGCAGGGCCAATTATCTCAAGGGAGAATAGATACAGTCTGGTGGGAAGTCTGAAAGGCTGTGGAAGGAAACCATAAATAGCGCACATGACAACCACTTTTAGCTTAAAGGAAAACTTGAGTCTTATTCAAGGAGGAAATGAGCATCAGAAAGAGTGTTCACTTATTCCCTGAATAAGCATTTATCGAGCACCTTGTGTGTGCTTGGCTCTGTTCCAGAAGCTGGGGACTCAGGAGTCAATAAAACAAGACCCAAGTCTTTGAGGAGCTTACGTTCTAGAAAGGAAGGTTAAGACTGGGGCGGATGGGGGGGATAAAGTCGATTGATGTTAAATGTTATGGAGAAAATCGGCCCTCCCTGGTGGCGCAGCGGGTTAGAGCACAGCCCTGAGAAGCTCAAGCCGCTTCTGCATGAGTTCGATTCCCGCCTGCCCCGGAGGAGACCACATGGCGTGGCAGACCTCTCCTGACCCGCCCGCTGCTCCCCTCAGCAGTGTACTTCGTCGATCTGCCTGTTCTGTTCCCCACTCTGTCTCTGGTGAAGCCTCTCACCGCCCCTGAGCCTCTGGCCTGTACCCCAGTTCTGTATGTACAAATAAATAAATCTTTAAAAAAAAAATGTTATGGAGAAAATAAAGTGGAAGCGGGAAATACATGGGTGAGGGGGCGGAGCAAGGGCCAGTTTTTAAACCAGGAGATCAGGGACGGCTGAGAAAGTAGCCTTTCAGCAAGATGTGAAGGAAGTGAGGCAGCCAGCAGGGAAGAAGGGGCCAGGGAGAGGGGACACTGCATGCCTACCCAGGTCTAGCCTAGCCAAGGACTGGGGACTGCGAGTAAGAGAGTGAGGACAAAGGGAAGAGCATTACAGGAGCTGAGCGTGAAAGCGTGTCAGGAGACGCACAGCTTCTTGCGGGAAGGTGGGGAACCACCCTCAGACTCAGGCAGAGGGCAGCTGGGCATGCGCCAGCCCCTGCGCCAAGCCTGTGGGACTCGCTCCTTGACCATCGCCTGGACGCTGCGACCACCAAACCAGGTAAGAATGTGCAGGCTTTTGTGCTCTGAACATGCTTCCTCTTCCCAGAATATTCTCTCTTTCAAGCGTCCTTTAGCCACTTCCTCCTTCTTCATACCTCTAGTCTATCACCCCCCCTCCCCCAGCCCCCAATAGAAAACGTACTGCCTGACAGTGGCTTCCACTGGCCTTGGGCCTCTCAGGAACCCTAAGCACTGTCTTGTACTATTTTTAGGTGCCTAGCTTGCACTAGAATACCTGTAAGGCAGAGATGTGCCACCATGCTGTGTCCTGCTTCCCTGATGGTTCCCTGTTTTGCACCTGTAGGCACCCTCTGCAGCATCCGCCCTCTGCAGCATCCGCCCTCTGCAGCATCCGCCCTCCGCAGCATCAGTGTGTCAGTGTTCTCGGCCTGGCCGGCAGGACCAGAATCACCTCTAGGACTTGTAAAACAGATCCCTGGGGCCTCTGCCCAGAATTTCTCACTCATTAGGTCTAGACTGGAGGCCCAGAATGTGTATTTCTAACAAGTCCTTGGGTCATGATTATTGTTGCTTGTCTATAAACTCACTCTGAGAACTGCCGATTTAGATGCAGGATAGAGTTTATGTCTTCAAGTTTACAAAAATAAAAATAAAAGAAAACCAGCTCCCTTGGCCAAAATGAGTTCTTGTTCATCATTATAGGTTTCAGAACTGTGATGAGTACATGAGTTGGTTCTAACAAGTACTTGGCTTAGTAACTATTAGTTCATTCCCTCAAATACATTGGTCTTTTCCATTAACCAAACCAAACCAAAACCTTATCTCCTTCCTTTACCCACATGCAAGTTATTTAAGGTCATTTCACTCCCAGCTTCTCAGATCTATTCTCAGACTAAAAATTAATTTGGAAAAGAAAAAAAAAAAAGGCTATGTGACATTTTTAAAAAAGAAAAGACTTTTAAAAGAAGTAAAAAAAGGATCATGCACTCCAGAGCTTTCCTGTGCTTAGAGCAAAGATTAATTCTGCTCTTAAAGATGTTTAAAATAGACTCAAGAGATAGCTATACACGCACACCTGAGAACAACTGAAGTGCATAATATGTTGTTGCTGCTCTGGCCCCTCTCTGGCCATTCATGTGGCCAATGTAGCTCTCTGGTGTGGAGCTGAGGACTCTTAGGGAATCAGGTGATCCACTCCAGGTCAGAGTCAGCTGCTTTTCTGCTGCTAGAAATGGTCTGTGAGCCTCCAGTCTCTCTCTCCAGCTCCCAGAACACTGCCTCAGTTCACCCACAAGGAGGAGGTCTGTGTCTTTAAGCTGGGGATGAAATGAGCCACCTCTGACTCAGAACCAAAGCTAGGGATGACATGATACAACTTTTATTTTAGTCAGTGTAGTTTAAGTGAATATTAAGGTCACTTCGCAATCCTCTTTGGCCTACATCCTATGAAATAGGTATGAAAATGCAGAACTTAAATAGTATGTTAGATCTAAAGAGTTGGGGGCCCTCCCATATGGCACAAGGAGTTAAAGTGCAGCACTATGAAGCTAGCCACAGCAGCTTCAACAAGTTTCAGTCCCAGGCCAAGCAGTAACCCACACGGTGTAGCAGACCTCCCCTGACCCGCCCGCTGCTCCCCTCAGCACTTCACTGATCTGCCTGTTCTGCTCCCCGCTCTGTCTCTGGTGAATCCTCACACCGCCTCTGTACCTCGAGCCTGTACCCCATAAATAAATTAATTAAAAAAAAAAAGAATTAGACTTGGAAGAGACTTTACATTTAATCTGGTATTTACATTTTAGAGGTGACTTAATCCTGCAAAATTAGTCAGAACAGTTAGTAATTTACCTCTCCGTGTTTCAGTAGGTCTGTCTGTTCTGCTCCCTACCCTGTCTCTGGTGAATCCGCTCACTACCCCCGAATCTGGCCTACACCACAGCTCTTGTATGCATAAATAAATAAATCTAAAAAAAAAAAATAGGAGTAGCATGAAATCTGAAACATTAGTGAAATTTTTGTGCATTTACAGTAAAATCTATCTTTTTTTTGCACTCTAAATGGCTCTTTTGTGCAGGATCCTGGAAAATAACACTCACTGAGTTAAGCAGATCTGGTAAATGGTGAGGCATTTCCTTAAACATCTTATTTAATAACATTAGCACGTGCTTTTTTGGGCTAATGCCACACGTCTAGTTACAGAAGTCTTTTATAATATTGTGAGAGTGTGGTGGAGACATTTCCCAAATTTTCTACTTTTTTCACTGGCCCCTAGTCCCCTCATTTGTTTTCCTTTAAGAAACAGGATCACTTTGCTCATGGTCCAGAAAATATCTGCACCATAACCAGCTATTTGTGCTGCGAAGCTGTCATGATGGTGCTCCAGGAAACAGGACACCTAGCTCAGGCTGCAGCTCCAGACAGAAAACAAGGTTGTGCTTTTCCTCAGGACAACCAATGACCAAGCAGGGGGGCTTTCGGCCTGCTTCCCATTTCAGTTTCCAAACCGTTAAGAGGAGAGGTACTGAGAAGGTCAAGATAAATGAACAGTGTTCGTGGCTTCATCATGAACAACTTCCAATGAAGTTGTTTTTACTTTCCCCCTGCAAATGTGTGTGTGGTGGGGAAGAACAGGATGACTCACGCTCAGGTGTGGAGATTTTACCTGCCAATCCTTTTGGGACACCAGTGCAAAGGTCACCTTAGTAAAAAGGGGCAAATGACACCTGAGCTTGTTAGAAAAAGTTTTTATTACTCAGCTGACACCACCCCCTTAAAGATGTCTCTAAAAACTGGTATGGTAAAGGATTTTAAGGGAAAGATCTAGAGTTTCCCTCCTTTGCTAGGTAGTACCTACAAGCTACCTCCTCTGCTACAGTGTGAACTTCTTTACAGCAATCAATCACATCTCAGGTCTAAAGCTCTGTAAGACTCAAAGACCCAATCTTTGTTGAAGGAGCAAATCTAGGAATGACATTCATACCTAAGGTGCTTGAAGGACCAAAGCAAAAAATAAAGCTTTTAGGTCAAGTCAAGGAATCCCACAGTCCTTCACCGAGGCAGTCAGGACTCTCTAGCACTTTACACCATACATTTAGCTAGCAGAGCTATTTTTTTTT